ATTGTTTTACAACGCGAACCCCTGGCTCTGTTTGTTTTTTTTTGAAAGGGGAACACCGTTTTTTTTTTTTTTTTTTTTTTTTTTAACTACACAGCAATAGCAAATTATGTCTGTTATATTATTGCAACTTAGTGACAATTTCAACAAGTGTGTGTGTGTGTGTGTGTGTGTGTGTGTGTATATTTTTTTGTTTAAATCAAAGTTACACACTGCAGCTATAATGACGGCATTAAAGCTAAACACTAGCACCCAGGAATAACTACGTGTATGGAAATGGACGTCAAAGGTTTGGCTGAGATGGGAAAGAATCAGCTTGTTGGCTCTGATAAAACCAGTCCAACTGGGATGAATTCCAGTTGCTTCCTTTCATCTTTCACAATAAAAGCCATGTCATAAAACAAAGACTGTTAATTTCTGTTAAACGGATTAGAGGAGTTGTCATGGTTCAGTCGTGGAGGACTTTTCTTTAGAATTGCTGATGGAGGAATGATCTGTGAGATTAATAAAATGAAGGGCCTTTTGTTTTCCACCTCCGCTGTGTGAACTCATCTGCTGTCCAAGTGTCAAATGTAAAATCATCTTTTACTTCAGTTTGTGTTGAAGTGTGAACTTTTTAACTTTTTCATGAGGAATTGCAACCTAAATATAGTTAGTAATATAAAAACTTTATTTTTCTACAAATTTTCCAGCTTTTTTTTTTTTTTTGCATTAATTCGATGCTTCCATGTTTCTTACACAATCAAGTGTGTGGTTTCTTCAAATCCACAGATTATGAGCAAAGCGTCTCTGTATTTACAAGAGGAGAGAAATTCCTCGTCTCATCCTACCTATTTTTTATTTTTCTTATTTAATTTGAATGGTGGTTGTAATGATGGGTTTGCTACACTGATTTTTTTTAACAGAAATCCTTGACTCACTGAGATATTTCTATGTAACTATTCAGGTATTCAGAATGAGATGCTGCAGTTGTTTACATGTGAAAAATATTGCACCGGTTTTTACTGATTAAACGTCTCAGTCTTTCTTGCTCTGTTGTTTGTGCTTCATTTTTGATTGGGCATCACTAAAGACAATCCTCACTCCTGAACTGTTTGTCTGTCAGAAGACTACAAATAAAATGTTATCTGGTACAGATTTATTTAAAGGACTAATCCACATTTGTGAAAAAGTATTTTATCTTTGCAGGTTGTTTTGTCAGGATGAGTACAGTGGGGACAATAAACGGTTTTCCTGGACTTTTTTGTGCCCGGAGAAAGAATTATATGCCTCATCTAATTTGGGTCGGCAGGAACATGTGCTGCTAATTCCAGACCAAATATAGCTGCTTCTGTCTTCTCTAAGGGTCACAGGTCTGTCAGAAACAGAGTGAGTCTAAACTATATGACATTTCCACGCTGGCCTTATTTGTGGGTGATGTTAATAGATCATCTTTGTTTGATACAGAAGATCAAAATGTTTTCCTGTTGTGTATTTTTGATTATTTCTTTGTTGAACTCTCTGCGTGGCTTCTATATTTTGGGCTGTGGTGAGTTTTTTTTTTTCTTGGACAAATTGAATTGAATCATTTAATTTCACAGGCTTCTGATTGACAAGCAGCAGGCCTGTTTTCTCCT